CACGTACCAAAGTCAAAAATATGGACTCAATATAAATGTAGAGAAGACAAAAGTTAATTATTATTTATAATTATTTGATATAACAAGATGGAAACTGCATGTGACAAAAAAAGAAAAAAACTTTACTTAAAATACTGAAAAATGCATTGGCTATCTCGTCGATTATGTTCCATATTATAATGCTCTGTCTATAATGAGCTCAATTGTTTTAATAACTTCTTAAACATAACAACACAATTCTTATACAGAACAATATCACTAATAAGTCACACTCTCAAATTATTCTTGAAAATAATACATGGTCGTATAAATAAAGAACTGGAAGAAGGAATAGATGATAGTCAGTTTGGGTTCAGAAACGGACTAGGAACCAGAGAAGCGTTATTTGCTTTTAATGTGTTAGCTCAAAGATGCATGAATATGAATGTTGATGTGCATTTTTGTTACGTTGATATTGAAAAAGTATTTGACAAAGTAAGACATGAAAAATTGGTCCAAATTCTAAAGACAAAAAACATAGATCATAGAGATTTACGAATAATAACAAACCTCTACTGGAATCAAAGAGCACCAATCGTAATAGATACCGAACCCAGTCCAGAAATTGAAATCAGGAGAGGAGTTACGCAGGGATGTATTTTGTCCCCATTACTATTTAATGTACATAGTGAAGCCATTTTTGAAGAAGCATTACTATCTCAAAGTAAAGGAATAATAATTAACGGAAGATCTATTAACAACAAAAGATATGTAGATGACACCTTGATTATGGCAAGCTCTGCTGAATAACTCCATTACTGCTAAACAAAACAAACAGTTTCTGTGGAAAATATGGACTAAAAATAAATATAAAAGAGACCAAATACATGATAATAACAAAGAAAACAAATATACCAACAAACACATATTTGGGAAATGTGCCGATAGAAAGGGTTGATAAATACAAATACCTAGGAACCTGGATTTCAGACAATAATGATCAAACAACCGAAATAAGAGCCAGGACTAGAAATAGCAAGAAATGCGTTTGTAAAAATGAAAACAATTCTCTGCAACAAAGGACCTTAGATTAAAACTGAGAGTAAGAGCACTGAGATGCTACGTGTTTTCCATACTGCAATATGGACTTGAAAGCTGGATATTGAAGCAAGAACACAGACATAACTTACAGTCCTTTGAAATGTGGTGTTACAGGAGGATGCTTCGAATAACATGGACACAGAAGAAAATTAACACGGAAGTATTGCGAGAAATGGGCAAAGAATGGGGACTTGAATGGGGGATTGAATACAATATCTGGGACACGTAATGAGGGGGCAGCGATATGAACTGCTAAGGCTGATAATACAGGGAAAGATAAGAGGAGGAAGGAGTATAGGAAGAAGGAGAGTGTCATGGTTGAAAAATTTTAGGGACTTAAATGCAGTTCTATAGAACTCTTCAGAGCAGCAGTAGATACAGAAAAGATAGTGATGATGATATCCAACCTCTGATTGGGAGACGACACTTAAAGAAGAAGAACTTCTTAAATCAACTTGAACCTAAGTTATTCAATTATGAGGATGAGCAAGTGCAAACAATATAAATGTCATACAAAAAATTCGTCAGTAATCATTAACAGGGTTATAAGGAAAAAAGCCCAGAATCATCAGTATGCAAATGAGAGATTTTGCAGCTTGTGGACAACAGAAACATTACAGATAACTAAAAAAAGGTACATGAACACATTTTCTAAAGAAAGAAAATAGGTACATGGAATGTAAGAAGCATGTACGAACCAGAAAAAATTCATAACACCATTAAAGAAATGAAGCGTCTAAATATAAGTATCCTTGGAATAAGTGAAATGAGATGGCCGGGGTCTGGAAAAGTAACTGTAGATGACCACATTGTATACTATTCAGGAGAAGACAGCTCAAAACACAAAAATGGTGTAGCAATAATTGTGTCGAAGGAAACAGATGAAGCTGTAAAAAACGTCGTCCTATTCTCAGACAGGATACTGATGATACAAATACAATCAACAACAATCAATGTGAACATATTACAAGTATATGCACCCACACAAGACTATGAACAAGAAGAAATTGAAAAATTATATCATGATTTAGAAAAAGTATTAGCACCTACAAAGAAACACGATCTCAATATTATCATGGGAGATTTTAATGCAAAGATTGGTGAAGGTGAACAGGAAGATGTCATAGGGAAATATGGTCTGGGAATACGAAATGAAAGAGGAGATATGTTGGCATCTTTTTGCGTAGAAAAGCAATTAGTAATAATGAACACAATTTTCAAACTTCCAAAACGTCGTCTTTACACCTGGAAATCACCAGCAGATACACCTGAACGAGTTTTTCGTAACCAAATAGACTTCATATGTATAAATAAGGGATACAGAAATTCAGTATTATCAACATGTACCAACAGATCACAATATTTTAGTAGGAAAAATAAGACTGAGATTAAAAAGAGTTGCAAGGACGAATAAGCAAACAGTTACTATTGATAGAGAAACGGTGCTAAATGATACTGTAAAACAAAAAAATAACTAGTATATTAGAACAAAAGATGAAGTAACTCGAAGAAGAAAGTACTGAGGAAAACGAGAATTAAAGACATCTTAAAGACTGTTCAAGAAACAAAATTGAGTGCGCTAAAAGCAAGAAAAAAACAAGGGTGGATGACAGAAGAAATACTGAGACTTATGGATCAAAGGAGAGAAGTCCGAAATAAAGATAAAAACGAATACAAGAGGATCCACGCAATAATCAGGCAGAAGATAAGACACGCGAAAACACAATTTCATAGTAAAGAATGTAATGAAATTCAACAATATGAAAAGAAACACGATACATTTCATCTGCACAAGAAATTGAAAGAGGTCGCTGGAAACAAATGGAAACAAGTATCCCAAAGTTTAGAAGACAGAAACGGACACAGAATATTAGACATCAATGAAAAGTTAAAAGAATGGGAAAACTACATTTCTGAATTATTTGAAGATGAGAGAGTAGAACACTATATACCGATTGCTATATCAGGTCCATCTATAACAGAAAGTGAGGTAAGACGTTCAATACAAACAGCAAAAAATGGAAAAGCACTTGGCCCCGATGAAAGTAAATGCTGAAACACTAAAGTTTTTGGGAGAAAATGGAATTAGAGCTCTGTGTAATCTCTTTAACAGAATTTATGACACTGGGATATTACCAACTGATTGGTTAAAGTCGACATTTGTCACAATACCTAAGAAACATCGTCCAAAGACATGCGGTGATTATCGGACAATAAGTCTGATGAGTCACGTTTTGAAAATCTTTCTGTGAGTAATACACAGCAGAATTTACACGCTGTTAGAGGACAAAATTAGCAATACTCAATTTGGGTTTAGGAGTGGCTTGGGTACAAGAGAAGCCTTGTTTAGTATACAGGTGCTAATACAGAGATGCAGAGATATAAATCAAAATGTGTATATTTGTGCAATCGATTTTGAAAAAGCTTTTGACAAAGTCCGACATAACAAAATACTAGAAATATTGGAAACAGCTGGATTGGACGATAAAGATCTACGAATAATTACAAATCTATACTGGCATCAAGTGGCAAGAATAAAGGTTGAACAAGAACTGTCGGATGAAATAAATATAAAAAGAGGAGTGAGACAAGGCTGTATATTGTCACCTTTACTTTTTAACTTATATTCGGAGGAAATATTTAAGGAAGCCTTAATCGAGACAACCGAAGGTATTATTGTGAATGGAGTCACGTTAACCGTCAACAATATTAGATATGCCGACGATACCTTAGTCCTTGCCAATTGCGGAGAAGACCTTCAAAATCTAATGAACAAAATAAAACAGACTTGTGATCAATATGGATTAAAACTCAACGTTAAGAAAACTAAATATATGATAGTTAGCAAACAAAATTATATACATGATGACGGTATAAAAGTCGGTGATGCCACACTGGACAGAGTAGAGAAACTCGTGTATCTCGGCAGTAATATCAATGAGAGCTGGGATCCAACCGCAGAAATTAAAAGCCGAATAGAACAAGCCCGAGCTGCCTTTGTAAAAATGAGAAACGTACTTTGCAGTCACGATCTTAGCATTGACCTTAGAGTTCGTATGATATCTTGCTACATCTTTCCTGTCCTGCTGTATGGAGTAGAAGCGTGGACCCTAACTGAGGCTATGCTTAAACGCTTGACAGCCTTTGAGATGTGGGTATACAGACGACTACTGAAAATAAGCTGGGTCGACAGAGTTAGAAATGAGGAGGTCCTTAGACGGCTGAACCAAACAACACAACTGGTCAATATAATAAAGTTAATCGTGGTCCTGGTAGAAGAAGAACATCATGGCTGAAAAATCTAAGGCAATGGTATGGAAAATCAACTACATCGTTATTTAGAGCTGCTGTCAATAAAGTCACGATAGCGAATATGGCAGCCAACATGATATCCAACGATCGATAACGGTCATGGAACTAGAAGAAGAAGAAAAAAGGTAAACCATTCAAATTTGTAGACAGTTAATACACATTTTAATGTGCATTAACAAAATTATACTGAAATAATAGAACCATTAATGAGTTTGTTGTAATAGCTTACGTTAAGCTAATTGGACTTAAAAAAACCGATTTTCCTATAATTTAACACTTTTATTAAGTACAATAAAAAATAGAAAAGAATTTTAAGAATTGAAAAGTGCTACAAAAATTATTTTTGCCAAAAATTATGTACCTATATATTAGATATTTAATTTAATACTCTCTAAAAACTAATATTCTAATAAAATGGTAAAATGTAGCCCTTCCTGAGCATTAGTAAGCTAAAAACCTTCATCAATTTTGGTAAATATAAATATTCGAAAAATGTTTTGAGGTTTTTATATGAAAGGGCGGTAAACCTGCTTAGCGTGAATCTAGAAACATGTTTAATAACACACTAAAATTTCCAACAATAGAAATAAGGAAATCACTGTGTTTACCAGCAATCACTATAACAATACACTTCCGAAACAATGACTTTAACCATCAACACCGCCTTTAAAAATTCGGTCCCGATATTTCACAAAAGTGTTCGCATCTTTAAGCCATGTGCTCAAGATAAAACGCTAAATAAAACTAATTTTCAGTCTGTGTCCCCAACGTGTGTCTTTATCTAACATCTGTGATATATTTAAAGGAACGCCCATCCGCACAAATTACAAATTGGCTGTCAAATGTGCCCGTAACAAGTTTATGTCACATTCACCCCAATAAAAAGCATAATTCGGGAGATCTGCATCGATGTTTCGGTCGATGAATGTGCGTTTTGGAAAATTTTGATTGATTTTTGCTGAGCCTCTTGGGTATTTAGTAACGCCCGCTGAAAAACGTCCAACCAATTAGGTGGAACGTGTGAAAAAATCGTGATCACGCCTTCTTTTTGGATTTTGACTTGGTGAAAAATGAGCAGATATTTTTTTTCATAACAACCTGGGTTTGTTTATTATGTCATGACATATATTTGTCAGATTTTGTGATAGAACGTTTCCTAATTTGATACCGCTAATTATAATTATACCGAAATGTCAAACGTTTAGATTTTTTTATATCGCCTGAATTTCAACAAACAGTTTTTCTTTTCGAACGTTTTCGAAAAAAGTATCAGTGTTCTAGTTTGTTTTATCAACCCATTCCGATTTGTAGACTGGGTTTGTTTTGTTTTTGACAGTTCTTCTTTTTCTTTTCATAAGACTAGGTTCTGTTTACTTTGTTAAATGTAGCCTTCTTCTGAGCTTTATATGTAACGTGGGCTACAATTTTGTGCCAAATAGTTTCTGAATTTTATAATTCTCTTTCTTCCGTATTATTTTTGTACTTTTTGACACGTTTTGTAAAATCATTCACATTTTTGGAATAGAACATATCTATCCCTAGATGTTATTATCAGTAGTAATATCCCTAGGACATTGATAACAGACGAGATAATTTCATGACAATCGAAAGCTCGTTCCTTGGTAACAGCACGAAGCCGAAGGCTGAGTGCTGTTACCAAGCAACGAGCTTGAGAAATTTGTCATGAAATTATGAGGCATTCATCAATGTCCGAGGGATATTCGGCGGATAATTTTTCAAAAAAAAAATCATAACTCAACATAACGAAACATTTATTTATTAAAAGTACAGTTAGTGAAAGTACAATTATTAAAATTTAAGTTAACATTAGAAACGTGACATTTTGAAATTTATTTGGATGAAGTTGTCAAACTCGATCGTGTTGTCATAGGGATTGAAAATTGCACTAAATGCAATTATCAGTCTAATATTGTTCTGAAGCTATTTTCTTGTGGCATTGTAAATTAATTACTATTAAACTGGGAATAAGCCACAATTAAAGATAAAAATACGTTTATTGACGTTTCAATTTCCACTTCGGAAATCGTTCTCAAAATACAAACAGTAAATTAAACAAATTTTGTTTTTTGTTACATAGTGAAAAATTCTTCTAATAATTTAATTTTATCTGACTCATTTATATTGACAATTCAGACATACATTATGCATTTTAAAGTAGACGACTTTAAAATGATATTGCCAATATTGTTGAGTTGCGCTCCTGGGACGACTTTACTTATAAGATAGTTCATTCGATTACATGAAATCAACTTTAACTTGAGAATATCCGGCAGAAAAAATCATAGCATGTAATTCGTCTTTAAAAAGACAAACACATGACATGATGACAGTAAATTCTCCTGTTAGTGATTTCATAGTAAATTATGAGGGAAAAACCAGGAAAAAAACCTCATAATACTATCCCGACATTGTAAGTATTTGGTTCGTGAATTTAGTTTACCTTCAACACACATCAAAATTCTGATTTTATATCTTACGTTATTTAAAAAACATAAATGATGTATTCTCTATATGTTACTGACTTACTAATACTGGTATTTTCTTATTAATAACTTCCTCTTTCAATATTGGTAACCAGATCCTACTACATTCTGCCGAGGAATTTGCGACACAATTGGCCTCATTCAGCATAATTAGAGCCGCTTCTTTGATTTTTCTTTTTTACCATCCGTTTCTTTTAGGACTACATTTGAAATGCATAATGTATGTCTGAATTGTCAATATAAATGAGTCAGATAAAATTAAATTATTAGAAGAATTTTTCACTATGTAACAAAAAACAAAATTTGTTTAATTTACTGTTTGTATTTTGAGAACGATTTCCGAAGTGGAAATTGAAACGTCAATAAACGTATTTTTATCTTTAATTGTGGCTTATTCCCAGTTTAATAGTAATTAGCGCAATTATACTTTGAACATTCTCATTGCCGAAACGTGACATTTTGAAATTTATTTGGATGAAGTTGTTAAACTCGATCGTGTTGTCATAGGGATTGAAAATTGCACGGAATGTAATTATCAGTCTAATGTTGACATGATTGGGTGAAATTGTTCCACATGACACAAAATGAGGAAATTTGAATGGTTGTTAGAACAGTCGAGAAATGATCAATATTATGAAACTAGTTCTCCCCCTCCCCTTTTCTTCCTCTCTCTCTCTCTCTCTCTCTCTCTCTCTCTCTCTCTCTCTCTATCTATCTCTCTCTCCTCAATCTTAACAAAGTAAGTTTTATGGATAGAACGTTTGTCTCAATTATCTCTGAACGGTTTTCACAAGTTTTATAAATTTTGGTGTTTGATGCGGCCGATATTTACATTATTTTCGCCAAAGTTAAAATAATGAATGAACTCCTTTAATTTGAACAATCTTTAATAATTTATATCCTAATAATATCATAACATGCAACAGGTCTACTGTCAATAAATTAGTAAAAAGTTTAAAAAACTCATGCACTAAAAGATTTATGCAAATCATAGCGCAAAAAACTACATCAGCTGAAAACAAATTCATGTTAGAGATATGTCAATATTTGAGTAGTAGAAAAATTGGGACTTCTAAAAAACCATATGTTGTCTGTTTATTTCAATACAATAAGCCAAGCGATTTTTAAAACTTTGCAATACATTTTGCAACATCCTTGACTGCTCAATTCTTCTTACCTATGTGGTAATCCATCTTTTAATTACTTTACATTGTGTGATTTTATTTAATAAACTATGTTTTTTTTGAGTAAACATACAGGAAATGGTCTAAAGGATTTATGTTGGGTGATTGCGGGGCCATTTGATAAAAACACGTCTTATAATCCATCTTCGCGAAAATACCTTATATAGGTATTGCTTCACCACACGCTCATAGTGAGCTGTAGCAAAATCTTTTTGCAGTTGCAGTTTAGGATATTGTTAATGTCTAAAAGTTTCGAAAAATAAAATCCCTACATTAAAATTTAATTAAAAATACTTACTTGGATTTGGAAATAACCGAGCCAACTCAGATAGTATACTATTTACCATAAGGGTTGTTTTAATTTTAACATCCTTTTATGATTATATCTGCAAACTCTTCAAGTCTTTTAAAATAATCATCTGACAACTCTTAAACTAATCTTATTTTGTTTGAATGAAATTTATTTTCATGTAAAATTTTTATTGCGAAGAAATATAAATTCCCTGGATAATTTTCTAAAAGATAAAGATTTGTTTTACAGGACAAGCTTTTACCTTTGTAAACATGTTCCTTTTTTTCAGGCGGAATCATTGACCCTGCAATAAATGGCAGAGACAATGATCAAAGATGAAATTCAGGATCATGATATGATTATGTACTGAGATAGCCAAGCATTCTTGTAGCTCTGAAAGCGATGATAAATCCTTTAAAATGACACAGCTGCATAACAACCTGTTTTAAAGCTCGGAATGATTTGCAGGCTAAAACTATCAAAATAGCTGTTAGTTGGGTGCCTGGGCATTCTGGTATTGACGGAATGAGGCAGTTGATGTAGCAGATAAGGAAGGTACATATGTATGTTTCTAACCTAAATTCGTTTACCCAGTTTCGTATCGGAAATATAAAACTGATATAAGGAAGTGGTCTCTAGTTTTAACAACTGACAAGATCGAATGGGAGGACCGATTGTTGTTAGACTAAGGAGGTCATGGCTTCAGTTTTGTAAGGAAACAAAATAATTGCTTTGAGTAGAAATGGAATTCGGGAGGTAAGAGAGGTTCTCGCAGGTCGACCTCTCCAGACATCAAAACATATGTAGGCTCGCCAATTAGTAATGTGTTCCAGGTGTAAGGATAGAGAAGAGGCTGCCGGACACTTTGTGGGTGACTGTCTAGCCTTTGCTAATAATAGACAGCAATGATTTTACTTTCACAAAACAGCTCTGAAAGAGATGGAGGCAATTTCAAATAGGGATAAATCCTTATAAATCTCATTAGAAGAAACCGCAAGGACGATGACAATATCGACAATGGGTCCAAGACCTGCTCCAAGCCACTAGAAGGCGGCAAAAAAGGGCTTTTCATAAAAATTATAAAACCAAATTATCCAACAATACATAAGAGAGATCAAAGTACTGCGTTCATAAAATACCTTAGGATTACAACAAAAACGGAGAGAAACGGTTCCGCAATAGGAAGATTGTAACGAAATATTTTTGCTTACCTCAGGGTAAGAACATGGGGTAGAAGATTGGGCAAACAAAATAATTGAAACTAGTGCAAACGGCACTCAGGGTTTGTTAGGGGAGCTGGGGTTGTGGACAAGTAAAAGATAAGGGGGTGGATTGGGGCATCTACAGAAAAAAGAAACAAAAGGGGTGCTAACATAATCTCTTGGGATGAACAAAATAAAAATAAACAGCAAACACCTTAGTAATTTAATATAGAGCGCCACTTTGAGGTGCCTAATTATACCTATTACAACCACTAATTATAACTTGGGGAATAATTATTAAACATAAAAAAACATCGTTTTCAGATAAAACTCAAAAATGGGGTTAGTTAAAAAAAAATAAACAAAATGTTAAGAAAACAAAATTTAACATTTATTTTTGCGTCATACCACAAACAGTTACAAAACAAATAATAATAACAAAACAATGTTGATATCGGTTTACAACTCTAGACGGTGGGGACACTATGAGAACTTACATTATTAATAAATTGAAATCATCTAAATATGTCAATGCAGTTTACATTAGGGTCAACATTTTTGAAACAAAACAAATCAAATTCAAAATTTATGGTTAGTTATGTGTATAAGAATAATTATTATGACAGTTAGCCAATCCCTAATTTTTATAATTTAACTTATTACAATTTTTCAACTTGTCATGAAAGCAATTATTGATGAAAAATGTCTATTTTTATTAAAAAAAAATTTA